AAGATCGATTATTGTCTCGGCTGCTTCCTGGTGTCTAACTTCCCCTGCACCCTCGCCCACCCCCACAGCAGTGTATCGGAGGAAAGAGAACGGGGCTAGAGACCAAGCACACTGGATGCAGGGTGAAATAACATGGCCAGCAAGCTGGCGTAAGTTTCTTTAGAAAAGGTGCCAGAGACCTATAGTGGCTAGAGGCAGGACACATCTAAACAGTTAGAAACAAGGGCACCGTCAAAGGGAAGGGAAGAGGGCAAGAAGCCTGCCACGTGACCGAGGTCCAAGCGAAACCTCAGCTGGAAAACCACCGCCGAACCTTTGGGTGCCAGGAAGAAAATGGGTCAAACGGTTCTCAAAGGACTGCTGCTTGAGCTGCCGTTGAACATCTTCTTGCCAGCTGGGGAGTCAGCCAGGCTGATCCTTGGAGTGAGACCTATAAGGTCAGAACAGCCTCAGCCCCTTTCCCTGCTCCCACTGGCAGCGTGGCAGGCTCCTGGAGAGAGGAGGCGCTTGAAGCAGCACCAGAGAAGACAATTCACCTAAGGGAACAGGCAGGGACGGGTGGGCAAAAGAACTTCCACCCTTCAGAGAGCTGCAAGCGGCAGTGCAATGCAGATTGCAGCAGCACTGAAGAGGCCTTTGCCCTGCCGTGGTCTGGATCAGCTGCTGTGGCTGATAGCTCAGCAATAGGTTTGATCGGCATCGCAATCCTGGGATGGGCTCAAAACAGGTAAGACTCCATCCTAGCAGGTACTTGGTGTATCATTAGCCATGGAGCCTTTCAGCTCACATGGGGTCAGTGTGAACTCTCACAAGGACTTTATTAGCTCTTGAACTGGATGCCCTGGCAAGAGCTCACAGCCCTCTTTCTTGGAACGGATTTGATGCGTTCCCTTAGCATGAGGTTCCCCACATCACAGCCTTTCCCCAGCACCCGCTTCCACCTGACTCTGCGCCAGCATCCTTTGGACAGCTACACATCTGCCATGCACAGCGCGCCCTGTGGATACACAGGGATGCCAGAGAGGGACAAGCAACCTAGAGTGAAGAACTGTTAATGGCTGTGCAGTCACAGCCAGCGTGATTGGCAAAACCACAAGGGGATCAGTTCCATACCCGGCGCTCACTGTCCTGAGCGCAGTGCTCCGTGCAGCACTATGCCTCTTCGGAACCGGCAGAAACACACACAGGCAAACGACCTGATCCTTAACCTGCCAGCCCTCTGCAAACCCAGCGGAGGGGCCCTGGTATACTGTGGAGGATGAGAAAGAACTGGGACACTGCAAATGAGCAGGTGGGATTAGCTCTTTACCCTGCAAGCTCCAGTGCTTTCCTCACTGACCACCTTGTTCTGCACTCATCTCAAAAGGTTCCTCCCCCTTGCCCTGTTCCCCTCTGCATACACACGTGATGGCTACCCACTATGCCGGCCTCCCCTGAGCTACAGACCTTACTGGGATAAAGGGCAGGCCATGCACAACCCCTCCTCCACCATGAGCAACAGTCTCTTAATGCCAGTACCATGTGCTTGTTTGGGCACGAAACACCCATTATTCGCTAGCCCTGGTCGAGGTGCTCAGGCGCAAATGACCCGGAAGCGGCAGACAGCTCGAGACAAGAGTGCCAGAGCAACCTCCTTTAGGTGCCTGTAGAACTGGGGACTGCGGTGGGCTGAAGAACAGAAGTCTGAGTTGAACGCAAGAAGCTTTAGAGGACAGATGAGCAGAAGTGCATTTGCAAAGCTGCAGGAGCCTTGAGGCAAAAGTGATGCCGCTCACGCAAAGAGCTCACAGACGGACACCCAGCAAGTCTACCAAAACCCGCTGGTGTCATCAGAGATCCAGACGTGACCACGAGATGATAGACATGAGCTATGAAGAGGGGAGATTATTCCCTTGGCAGCTCGTTAAAGAGGAAATCTGAGAACCGGAAGCTCCTCTGGTTCAGAGAGGCCTCATAAGATGAAATGAGCAAGTTCACAAGGCTAGAAGGAACCTTTCAGCAAGGCAAGGACAGAGGCTGTGGGTCTCTAGCCAGCTAAGCCGGCAACGCAGCGGAGTGAAAACTTGGCTCTCGCACCATATAGACTTTGCTGGAGACTGAAAAACTTCCAAGCAGGGAAACAGAAAAGCAAAATACTGGACACTCAGCTCAACAGGACTTGCATTTTTATGCAGCTTAGCTGTGGACGGAGTGAAACGGAATCAAATCTGTCTCAACTGCCAGTTAATTTATTATATGGTTTTACCCAAGACTGTTCTGATGGTCAATATAGCTATAGTTACTGAAGCATTTGCAAGGATTGATTAGGCAACCAGTTGACCTGTAAGTGACCAAGCACCGGCACTCATTGAGAATGACCACTTTGTTAGATGTCCATGTCAAAGACTAGGGACTGTACCACATTCATAAAGGACCTGTGAGCAGACACGTGGCCTGTTCCGCTTCTTAGATCAAATTCCCTCCCGCTACAATTCCATTTTGGAAGGAGAAGGAGCAAAAAGAGAAATCACCATGTCTCTGGATAATCTGGCTTGAGGGGGTGAGACAAGAGGATGGCTGTGAGCAAGCTTCTTCACTCCTTTCTTCCCCTGCCAGGAGCCCATGTGATGCCTTGCAGCATTTGCTTTTAAAAAGAAGCCCTTTAATGCAAAGGATTGTGTCCCCCATCACAACTGAAGCCCTGTATGGCAATCTCAGAGAGTGCAAGAGTCAAACCAGTAATAGAAAGCAAGGCTCTCACCCTGGCAGCTGCCCCTATAGGTCGGGGTTGAGCAAGGCTGGCAGAGCAGTGGGGAGAAGCTTGCCTTTGCAAATGCTGGGGCTACTGTAGGATAAGTAGGTCTTGATTCTCCAGAGCAACGACTTCCACGAGCACCGAAGTTGTATGTGTGTGTGTTTGGGGGTGGGGGAAGAGCAGGGGGTGTTTGTTTGAGGGCAGAGAAGGGATTTGGATAGTAAAGTTACCTGAAGAGCCCAGCAAAAATTCTCAACAAGAGAGATCTTAGGGTAAAGCTACATGGTCAGGCTCTGTGCATGGGCTTCCTGGAACAGTCGCCAGACATGGTTACAGGAGTTACTCTGACAGCTGCCCAAGTTACAGTCGCACTGCTGTTTCTATAGGAAAGAGGATGGCTGTACATTCCAGCCTGCAGCCAGCTGACTTGGTTTGCTCTTACTCGAGATTTCATCAGACCAGCTCAGCATTACAACTCGGCTATCTTGGTGAACAGTGATTACAAGCGGAACTGCAGTGAACAGTTAAAGAGACATGAAAAATTGTTTTAAAAAACCTCTAGCTTTCAGATATTCCCTTCTAGTTCATTATTTCTCTCACTCTGAGTAGCACCATTGACTTCCTCGGTGGGAGACGCAGATTCTTTCTAGCAGGCACGCCATTCTGATTGAGAGCACAACAGGGGAGCTAGCCCAGCAAACAAACAGGGTAAAGCAGAAGACCATTTAATCTACTGTCAGGATGGCCGCTCCCTGGGCGGTTTCATAAATATAACGCAAAAGTAGAATCGTAGGTAATGTTGCAGTTTCCCTTTTAGAGTCCACCTTTTGCTGCAAGGCCTGTGTCCTACATAACCAAATGCAGGGGAACCCAGACCAGACCATCTAACCCGTGGTGGGTGCCCAAATTGTTCCTCCTTGAAACACTCAGCCAAGAGAAAGATCCTCCCTTCCCCAAAGCCCCTCAGCATTTGGGTCTCAAGATTTCATTGTGACCCTACTGGAAAGAATGCAGCAGATGACATTTCATGGGCTCGTTTTTTTGGCATGGTTAACCCCTCCCCCATCTCCCAACTGCCACAACTCCAAAAAAACTAAGCACTTTCCTTTAGGTAACACCAGCTAATCCAGATCTGTTTTCATGAAGTCCCATCGAATTAGTAACCATCCCCCTGGATTCCACCTCTCTGGCACTTCCTCCCATCAGATGTCCTGAACTCAGATGTCTTGAATACAAAAGAAGACACTGAATGGAGTAAGGCTTATGGTTATGTATGCTGGAAGACTGACTGTACCGCACAGCGCCTCCTAGTTGTGATTTGTGGCCTAGCATGTCCTCCTCCACTGCTAAGGCTACAGGAGCAGAGAACTCTTTAACGAATAAATAAAAATTGTGCTTCCATTTAGATCTTCTTTACAACCCCCCCCACCTCGCCCCCAAAAAACCCAGAAATTTGGAGATAAAATTTTTTAAACAGCTGAAGATTTTGCACCAGTCAAAGATACCCTGAGTTAAATAATCTTTAAAAGCACCTCTGTTTTCAAGTTATTAATAGTTCCAGTAAAAAAGCACCCAAGGAGCTCTTCCTATTCAGAGTAGAAGCCAGAGCACGGCAAAAGGACATGCGGTTAGGTGAGGCTACACAATGGAGGGTGAATGGAAGCAGGTTATTTAACAAGCGTGTCTCATCCCCCTCCCCATTAAGGATCAGCCATGCAGTGTGAGTACAGAGAGGTTAAAATGAATCCAGGAGTGCATTCCCGTCAGTGTAAACTAAAAATGATCAGCACCATTAGGAGACAACGTGGCATAGCCCTTGGGAGGCTCAGGGCAGAGTATCCCTCCATGACTAGCTAGGGATGGACACGCAGTGAGCAGAGCCGGAAGGACAGAAGCAGCCAGAATCTCTTTGGCTGGAGGAGCAGAATGGGGATGAGGCTGCATTTATGGAGCAGTCTGTGAAGCAGCTGGTGGAAGATTTGGCTCTGGGGTTGGTGTTTGCACCACTGGCCGAGGTTTCAGGAGGAGGGAGAATGGAGGCGGCAGAAGCGGCTTCCTTGGCTAACGGAGGCGGCAGAAACGCTATGAGCAGCTGGCTTGGTGGGAAGCGAGAGTGGAAAAAGGAGGAAAAGTCTTCACTGCGCTTCTAGGGGAAAAAATAGAAAGAAAAAGAGGGGAAAAATAAAGAGGAGAGAGAAGCACCAGTCGCACAGAGTTCGCACAGCTTTTTTCGTCCTTCCCCCAGGGTCACTGCTCTGGCTCTGACCTTCGGGGCCGGTATCTCCGTTGGCCCGTTGACTTTCGCGTGGCCACTGCTGCGGTGAAGCCCACCAGGCAGCACAGGGATGTGGTGCCGAATTTGGCTGTGTCCAGCCAGCTGGGTGTGTCCGCCTTCAGGTACTTTTCAGCCAAGTGCAAACCCATCACCAGGAGCCACAGGACCGAGGCGAAGGCATCGATTCTCCGCAGCCTGGAATGCCAAAAAACGAGGCTGCGCGTCAGAGCAACAAGCCTACAAACCAGCCACTCAGAGCCAAGCCAGGCACGGCCCCAGAGGAAAGCACTGAGGGGCGAAGTAAGTGGCAGCCTGGGATGAACAGACTGAAGCAGGCTACAGGCCACCTCCCAATAAGTTCTGTCATCTGCAGGGCCCCACAACCTGCCTTGATAAGTTACTGCTCCATTCATTAGACTACAGTACAACGAAGAGACTTGTCCATCCTTGGTAATTCAGGCCATGGTTATAATGGGATTATCTAAGAATTTCCCCCCTCGCCCACAATCTAGATCTTTCAGAGGGTCCTTTGCAACCTCAATAGCATCCCAAGAATCCTCTCCCACAACCCGAGCACTGAATGGGAGACCACCACCACTCATAACATACTGAGGGCTTTTAATCCGACAGGCGGGTAGGCATCACTCTAGGCACAGAGAGGCTCACTTAGTGCCCTAGACAGAGGCAGGACTAGAACCCAGGTCTCCCAGTTCAGCTGGCTTGGGGGATGGCTTGTGAGCACTGCAAGGGGACAAGAGGCCAGTGCTGCCAATTGCTGCATTCCCAGCCCTGTGCTGAGCCAAGGATCAAGAGGGCAGAACAAAACCAGAGCCCCCCGCTGAGAGAGTGCAGACAATCAGCCCCCCCGTCGGGATCTCAAGAAGCCCCCAGATGGACACAGAAAGCAGACAGGAGACCCACCTGATCCGTCCGGCCAGGAGCATGGCTAACAGGCAGGTGACCAGCCCGAGGACGACGACCGCAATCTGATGGTTCCTCCCGTAGGTCCAAGCGACACTCAAGTTCTTCACCGTTTGCTCTGGCAGCAGGTGGAGCAGCTCCCACCAGCCTGCAACTCCCAGGAGAGTGCGATTCTCCGAGGCCGCTGCTGGGCTCGCTCCAGTCCCATTCCTGATGGCAGTGGGGCCAGATTCCATAGGAGCAGGGGCCGTGCCTTTGAGTGAGAAGGGGTCACCTGACCCATACAAGGCCATCAGGACAAGGAACGCACAGCTGAGGAAGGTCAGGAACCGCAGAATTATCACCTGAGTCGGGGTGCTCATGGAGGAGGAGGAAGAGGAGGAGCAAAAGCTCTGCAAAGAGGAAGGAGAAATATCTCTGGTCACAAGCAAAATGAGTTGGGGGGCGGGGAGGATCCTCAGACTGGTGCCAACTAAACATTTCTACATCATATCGACCTACTGAGCAACTTGGCCTGCCAGCCCCTGTACAGGACTGGAATAGTAAGGGGCTGCAGGTCAACAGAGAGGGGTAACGGCTCTGCAGTTGGGGGGGAGCCTAGGACTGGAATAGCAGGGGATTGTAGGAGAAGGGCCCATCCCTCAAGTTATCACTTCCACCCCTTGCTCAGTCCCACTTTTGCTTTCCTATATTTCACAGTTCCCATGCCGCAGGGCAAGCTGGTTCTTCCCACCCCTGCTCCACCCCTCCCTCCTTCCAGTTCACACATCATCCCAGTAAGATGAAAGCGTCGCACAGTGAGGGCTGTTGCAATCCCCCAGCCTGCACAAACCCAATGCCAAACATTAGAGACCAGCTCATCAGGGCCCAAGAGGGAGAATTATACTGAGACAGATCTGGGCAGACATCTAGGGCATCATCAGCTGGACAAACTGGCAGGGGACTGTGATCACAGAGGACTCACCGTTATTCACCCCTCTTGATTTATTTACACCTGCAACATCAAATTCGGCCCAAGTCCAGAGGTTAGCCCCTCCCCAACTTAAGCCAAATGTGATCCCATCATCCCACAACTCGAAAGCTGAACCCATCAGAGCTACTCGAGCAGACACTCATTTCCAGCCTCGCTCCTGGGGCTGATGCCGACGTGCCTGGTTCACTGCACTGCTCTCCTCGCCACTCACCCTGCCACCCGCGGCCACGTACCTGCATATAGGGCTTGTCGGTCTCCCGGCGTTTGAAGTGGTGGCTCAGCAGCAGCGCCCGGAGCTGCCGGTTCTGGTGCTTGATGTAATATTCCACAGCGGCCTGGCACGGGCGGCACAGCTTGTAGGTCTGCTCCAAGTGGTGCTTATATACCTCGATCTCCTCGTCATATTTACCCTTGTGAGAGAACAGGGAAGCAGATCAGAGGCACCGAACCCCAGCGGTCAACAGAGGGCACCATCGCTCTTCCACCGATGCACAGATCCCGATCTCCATGCTATTGAGCATCTGGGTATCAGTCCGGAATTCTAAGTCAGCTAGGATCAAGCCACCCAGCTAGCACATGGGAAATGCCTCTCAGGCCCACACAGCCTGGGAGAGACAGACAGTGCTGGTAGAGCAGAACCAAGCCACAGCAGCCTTTAGTGGTTTATGGGATATGGAATGCCATCAGCCATGACCTTGCTGATTTTATCAGCTAAGGCCCACACCTAGGGGGAGAGGTGTCCCAGATCTGTAAGCAGGGGCCCCCAGCTGGTACCTGTCCACAGCCATTTCCACTCAGCCCAGGCAAGCCAGACAGACAAACTGCTTCCCCTTCTGGTCTAGGTTCAGCAGCAATCACCGGCGCAACCCCCCAGCTCAGATCAGCGCCATAAATCATCATCAATGGTTGTCAAAACAACCTGTGCGAAGGGCGCATTTATCACGGTCACTGGAGCGGAGACGTCGCTCATCATGGCAGGTCCCAGGGCTCTCTCAACACCATCTCCACTGCCGGGCCGTTCTGGGCTCCCTGCCCCAGCCGTGGCATCGGAAGGTCAGTTTCTCCCAAACTTGGCTCCTGTTTCACCAGAGGGGAGCCAGGATGGGCCAGCCCCTCCCCTGCCCACATGCTTTATTGAGTCTTGCAGGCTGGGCTCCTCTCTCAACCCTACAGTTCAGCAGCAGCTCAGGTAGCGGGACACCGTGGGAGAAACCTTACCCTGCCCCAAAAACAAACAGGGGTGTCCATTCCCCTGGGCTGTCTACCAGCCCCATTCCTTTTACCCTGTGCGGCTCAGAATTCCTGCTCCACAGTTATGATGAAACACAGGTGGCCCTGAAGACCGCAAGATCAGGGCCCCCAACACCACAGCCCAAGAGCCTCAGAACCGCAGCTCCAGCACTCAGGGGGATGTTCTGGCTGGCTTGGGTCTGAGCAGCCAAAGGGACAGCTCCTGAGCTTTCGACAGCACCCAGCATGGGGACCACTGCCCATAGGGCCCCAGGAGCAACAGCGCCTCGGAAAACAGAACAGACCCAGGCTGTTCTGATTGAACTCCAGCAGGAAAACATGCCCACCCCAGCCTGTCCCTTCCTCTCATCACCCCCCTGATCGGTCCCCACTCCCAGCACAGAGCTGCAGGGAGATCTCGAGGATGGGAGGGTGCGACTTTGCACGCAAGCTGCTGAGCACTCCCTCTACTGGGAGGAAAAATCCAGGCACGAGGGTCACCTCTGTGTGCAGGTCTTTTTGGGGAGGGCTGGGGGAGGAACGGGGTCAAAGGCAAAGTGACTTGCTCCATGTCAAACAGCAAGTCAGACCAGGGTTCTCGATGGCCCTGGGATTTGTCCAGGGGAGATGGGCACCTTTGTCCCAACAGTTGCAAGACACTGGGAAAGAAGCCACAAGTTGTATAGGAGAGTCAGTTTTGGGGCTTGCTACTCCTCTTACAGTGGCCCACAGCAATGGGGTGTGTGGTGAATGTGAAGGGCCGAACTGGAGATGACAATGCTAGTATTACTTTGTATCCTGTTCGTACTTCACTACGTTCACAAGCGAGCCACAGTCCAGGGACAGGGCAGCTCTCAGCTCCAAAAATGCTCCCAAAAGCTTTGTCTCATTAACGTCTTCAGCAAAGATGGGAAACATTCCAGATTCCTCCCCACCCTTAGTTGATGGCTTTGTCCCCAGGCACTTGAAACCCAGGTGCACCACGCGCCCTGCAGACTTCACTGCAAATGGCCCATGGCCAGGATGAGGCTGCGTGGAAGGTTTAATGCTCCTTGTTCGCACAGCCATGAGGCTGCCAACTGCTGCAGTTTACTGTTCAGTCGGGTCAAAGCAGGTATTTATTACTGTGCAGGACACAGGCAGCTTTATCCAGGGGGTAAGGGAGGACAGGTGCATCTCCCTGGCTGTCAAAGGCCTGCTTGCTGGAGCGCTGTGCCAAGGGCTCCCTCTGCTGGCACATAGCTAGAATTACATAGGGTGACCAGATGTCCTGATTTTATAGGGACAGTCCCGATTTTTGTTTTTTTTTCCTCACATAGGCACCTGTTACCCCCCCCACCTCCTGTCCCGATTTTTGACACTTGCTATCTGCTCAGCCTAGAATTATATAAGATGAGAGTGCTCTGCAGGCGTGGGAACCCAAGGGACGGGGCTGGAATTTGGCAGCCACCTTCGGACCCTGCCTCTCTTCTCTAAGCTGGAGAGGAACAGTGTTCTGGAAGACAGTCATCGCACGGGCATGAACCGTGGGAGGTCTTGAGGATTTGAGCATCAGGCTAGAGGGCACACGAGAGCTCTGCAGCTCACAATGTTACTACATTGACAAAGCTCTTGGGAGGGCCAAGTGACCAGGGATCTCTACAGAAGGCAGCACCGTCCAGAAGGGCAGCCAGGAAACCCACATTCTCTCCCTGCCTCTGCCACTAACATGCTACTCGGCCTCAGGCAAGTCACTTCACCTCTGTCTAAAAGACAGGTGAGAACAATACCTCCATGGCCTTTGTAAAGCAATTTGTAACGGCCGGATGAAAAACACCATGGAACTGCCACGCATCATCACCATGGGCCACAACCGTCTGGACTAAGATGCTTTGGGCTCCCACCAAGAGACACTCTGAGGAGCTGCTCAGCTGCAGCGGGCTCATCACATTACCGCACAGCCCCTCTTTGCAGGGAAGAGACACGGCTTGCACAGGAGTAAAGACTGAGCCAGCAGTTTATATGCTGACCCCACATGTGTAGCCAGTGTGGAACCAGCAAATTGTCAGGCAGAGGTGAATCAACCACAGAGGAAGCGAAAACTGCCGCTTCAGGAGCAAGTGGACAGAATCAGCAGGAGACAGAGACACAAGAAAAACCCGAACACCATGAAACTGCCAGAAGGCATCCTTATTAATCACAATCCATGGGTTCAAATCTGCTCCCTGGGAGACATCCTGATTAAGCAGGCTCCAATTACATGGAATAGAGTGGATCAGAAAAAGCCTGCAGAGTAAAACTAACCCACTAGATCCTGGGGTTGCAACCCAGGGGCCCGGAACTTCTCTGCTGTAATAAGGGGGCTCATGGCATGGAACAGGATGAGGCCTACTGCCCTAAATACTTTGCAGGAACAGAGTTAAAAGAAGAAGCTGTGGGGGAGAAGCCCACACCAGAGCGGACCACCACCCCGCACTCCATTGGGTAGACAGCACTGATGCCAATCAGCAGCAGAGCTTCCTAGAGCTGCAGCCCCATTGTCCCACACAGGCACAAAGATGAACCTACTGCTCCCAGGAGAAACGTCAGCTGGACTGCATTGTTCTTTTTAACCTCAGTAGCAGGATCAGCTCAACTGAGGCCCTGTAGAAAAGGACAGTGCGCTTGAGAACTACCACGGTGTTGTTCTGCCCATCACATCCCACAAATTTAAGCAGGGCGAGGCCCGGCCAGTATCTAGATGGGAAACCTCCCCAGGAAATCCAGCCTATTGGCAAGAAGTTATGTTGGCTGTTCCGTAGGTGGCGCTCTTCCCTCCGTGACTGACATGGTGCTGTTTGGCAGGTTAGCGATCCCACAACAACCTTTGCAAGGTTAGGGGAAGGTGGCTCCAGTTTCCTGGCCATATTCTAACTCCGCTAATTCAATTCTTCCCGTTTACAATCCCCCTCGCCAATTCCAATCAGAATGGAGAGTCTTCTTCACTCCCCCTCCTGAACGGTTTGCACAATGTCGCTGTGCAGCCCTGGATGCAGCATTTCACCCTCCAGCTGAGAGGAGAATCCCTCTCCCCGCATTACCAACCTCCTGGGGCCTGCTGTCATTTGTAAAGCCTTACACAAAAGGCTACTCGTGCAAAGCATTAAAGGGAGGGAGTTCAAAGAGCTGCAGACATCATTGGAAAGCTGGAAGGATTCACTCAAGGAAAGATTAAAAGAAGAATACAAAAACCATTTGGCTAAGTGATAGCTAAGGGTGAGGGGAGAGACATAACCAGCCCAGTAACATGTGCCGAGAAGGGAGAGGAACTGACCTAACGAACGGGGATATAATCTAGAGGTAATGGGCTAAAATTCAGAGACTCTGGCTGAAGATTGGGGGGGGGGGAAGAAAGAACGCTTCCCCCCACACACATCTGTGTAAACAATTGGTTCTGGTCCGGGAAAGGTTTAGAACCACTGTTCCAGGCTGTGGCACAGTTTCCATAGGGAAGTGATAGAAGTATCCTGGTTTGCCTCATTTCAAACCAAACAGGACAATACTCTACGAAACAAACAGGGAAACCACGTTGTATTTGCAGAGGGACCCAACAGTCTGGACTCTGAATAATAAGGGAGGTGAAGATATAAAGTGGGGCTGAGTTTAACATCGGGGAAATTCCTCCCCAAGACAGACTCCGAGGGCTGCACTACCTCAGGGACCTCTTGCTCAGAGTTCATCCAGGATTCTGCCATCAGCTCGGAGCACTCTGTTTTCTTAAGGCCCTGGACAAAAAGCTCTTTGTGTAGGTGGGACAGAATAATTCCCTGTCTGCATCATCGTGCAGTTGCCATGGCCTCCCAGATAACTGGGGCAGGCACTTCACACACAGACAGGCGGGCTGCGCTCAGAGTTAGAATGAGCAGGGGATGAGCTACCTGCAGGGAAGGGAGGAGACAAGAAACAGCCCTGCTGTCTGGAAGATGCAATCCATGGAGGAATCCAGGGCAGGGACAGCAGGAGGGCAACTTGGAGGCTGCTCCAGTGGAATTGCTGAATGCCCTGCTTAAGGATCAAATTAACAGATTTGCCCTCCAGCTCCGAAGCACACATCACCCTCTGGAGACACAGGAGGGGGCTGTGTGGGCAGACAGAAAGGGTCTTGGTAGTTCAATCGTCTTACAATTACCCAGAGCTTATCCAAACGGTAGATCAGGATCAAAGGCTATTGTTCCTCCAATGAAATAGAATGGGAACATAAGATGCCTTCATGGGTAGACCTGGGGAGGTTCTCTTTACCCTAACAGGACAGAGTCTGTCCAAGCCAGCACCTACCTCCTCCCTGGGTGCGAAGGACGCCAGCTGCTTGATCTTCATGGTCTGGTGGTTGTTGCATTTCTTGCACAGCAAGATCTGGCTGCTCACCCACTGCTGTGGCTTGGTGGGGTCGCAAAAGGTGGTGGCGCCTGACACGACGTGGTTTAGGTGCTCCATGTACTGGGCAGGAATGGGCTTGTTGTAGTCGCCGTTCTGCCAAGCAGCAAAGAAAAGCATGAGCTCGTGAGTCCACCCTCTGCAGGAGTTCCACTGTCAGTGCCCTGCCCCATACGACAAGGAGGAAATAAAACAAGAGTAAGATCCATTGCTCTTCCCCCTGTTCTGTTCGCCGCTCCCTGCTTTTTACAGGCCGTGCTGCAGGGATTCGTGCATACTCCTGGGCCATGGATCGTCTAGTGTACACACCACTCAGGGGTGCAAAATCAGCACCGTACCCCACATTTCACTAACCCGCCCAGGAGCCGCAGCAAGGGACAGAAAGGCCCTATCAAAAACATCCATAAGCAGCTAAAGGTTATGGAGCGCCCACACAAAAATCGCTCTGAAATGCCACTGCATATCCTGTGACAAACATATTAGCCCAGCACCTCTCAACCCTCCAGTCTACAGCAGCCCAGCATCCACCAACCCTCAGCTGACAAATAATGAGGTTCAATCCAGAAGACGAGTCTCCGGACTTGTCTACACTTTGTGCTGGATCAGCAGGCAGTGATCAATCCAGAGGGGGTCGATTTATCGCATCTAGTATAGACGCGATAAATCGACTGCTGAGCACTCTCCCGTCGACTCAGGTATTCCACCAGAACGAGAAGCGCAAGCGAAGTCGATGGGAGAACGCCAGCTGTCAATTTACCGCAGTGAAGACACCGTGATAAGTAGATCTAAGTACATCGACTTCAGCTATGCTATTCGCGTAGCTGAAGTTGCGTATCTTAGATCAACCCCACACGGTAGTGTAGACAAGCCCTCCCACGGCACAGAGAACAGCATTGGGCTATAACCCAGCATGCAGATGTGCAGGCCACAGACTAACATCTGGGCAGGGTTTCTACCAAGATTTTAGGGCCAGTCAATCTATAACAAAGTGTGCACACCTCAGAAGTGGAGAGGTTTGGAAGGAGAAGAAGATGCAGCAGAGATGGCTTCTTTTGCCATATGTTTGATGAGCTAATTGTAGGGGAATGGCTTTAAGGGAAGGAAGTATATGGAAGGGCAGGAAGGGAGTCAAAGTGCCTCAAGGTCGGACTTTAAGGAAATCCTGGCTGGGGACACAAAGCCAGGGGAAAGATGGTAGTGTGGGACTGGAGATCAGGAGACTGGGGTTCTATTCCTGGCTTTGTCAAAGCCCCAGCGGGTGACCTTGAGCAAACCCTTTGTGCCTCAGTTTCCCCACCTGAAAACTGGGCACGACGCTACTGACAGAGTGGAGGGTGGGGTTTAATCTCTCTCTGTAAAGAGAGACTCGTTGAGAGCCTTGGCTAGAAGGCCCTGCAGTTAAGGCTACGATAAGGCCATTTTCTGTTGCTTATTACGCCGGGTATGTCTACCCAGCAGCAGGGAGGTGTAATCCCCAGCGCAGGTAGGCAGATGGGCTAGCTCAGGTCGAGCGAGTGCCTAAAAACACCAGCATGGCCGTGGCAGCACAGGCAGTGGCTTGAGCTAGCCGGCCAAGTTCAATCCTACCCAACCCCCTGGGTACACACCTGAGAAGCAGTAGCCACGCTGCTAGCGCCTATGTGTCTACCAGCACTGGGGCTTATACCTCCCCGCTCCTGGATAGACATACCCTCCTGCAAACTCTCACCATTCGGGCTGAAGTTTCCCAAGCTGGCTGCCTACCCCTGGCTGAATTTACTTATTTTTAACAAAACCGCTAGAAAGATTCAGCCCTTTCGGAGAACAAGGTTAGGGGGGAAAAAAAACATCATTTTATCCATGTCAAAAAATTCCTACAGCTGTTTTATTGTGAAAAATCTAGTGCCTCGATGCTTTGGAGCAAGGGTTTGAAATTTAACGGGGTCTCCCTTTCCCTGTGCCCATGAAATTCACTCATACTTGACCAAATTATAAACTGTTGAAAAATCTCAGTTTACACATGCATAGTAGAGACTTGTTAGTGTATGGCAGCTAAATTCTCTGCAGATTTCATCTGCACTGAGCATGCTCCGTCATAAGGGACTGAGAGGGATTTCCCTGCAATTGCTGCTCCCACAGGGCACAGCCCCTCCCAGCAGCCGTCTGGCCAGGCAGCCCCTACGGTACCTCTTGGAAGCCATTGTATTGTTCACAGTAGGGACAGTCCCAGCAGTTGCGATTCCCATACGGCACCACCGTGTCCTGGTTACAGAACCAGCAGTTCACAGTCATGTGTGTGGGCTTCTTCCTGTTAGAGACAGAAACAGAAGGGTGTCAAACTGAGCTGGACCGGCGAGCTAGAAGGAAACAGGGCAGCAGCCTATGGGAAAGTACAGCCGTTTTATTGAGAAAAATCGAGTGCCTCGATGCTTTGGAGCAAGGGAATCCCGCTCTGCTAGTTCTGCACCCCCAGAACTGCCTCTCATGGGCCATCCCCAGTGTGGCTAGCATCAACGCAACTGGAGGGGGCACGACAGTACCTGCCTCGGCTAGAGTCCTGGCACACGTTCGCGTCTGTGCTCCAGTTTCCACGGGAAAGGGAAGCCTAGGTGATATTGGAAGCGGCCGTGACCATCACATTCTATCAGGTCACATGTGGGGACATCAGAAATATGATAGACTGGCTGATAATCACTGTGTGCCCAAACTGCTCCGCGCACCTTAAAGGGACACGGGTAGATCACATTTGGCCCCAAGTTCAGCCATTGTAAACGGAAACTTTTTACACAGCACTAGGCAAACGGATGGGCAAGGAGGACTGAAGGATTAATAGGTCTTTTCTAATGTCAGAGAAGGCAATTTTTGCTCAAAAGCAAACTATTTACCAGACCTCTGTATTGACAATCCAAACCCACTACACTGGGCTAGCGCATGAGAATCAGAGAGACTAAACAGAACAAAACTGACTAGTCTACTGTCATTGTGCAAGCAGAGAGCTGCAGCAAGGAATTCATCGTCATAAACAGGGAACAGCTAATTAGATTGTCAGGCAAGGTGCTAGATTGGCAGCCCTGGAGACTAAAATCATCCACCCACAAGACAGATTTAAAGCACTGAGCCTTCCCCCTCACAACGCTCCTTTGTCAACATCTCCTTTAGAGGCAAGAGGGGAGTTAATTCTCTGTGCCCTATTCAACTTGTGGTCTCTTTGCCAATAAAAATGCAGTAGTGAGATTTTTGAGATATGTATTCCTGCTCACTGGGAACTACTAGACTGTCACGTAAGCCACCGATTGTCAGAGGGAAACAACTTCCAGTCCCCATCTTTCTGTGCCTGGGTTTGAACCATCAACCTCAAGAGGACAGGTTCTGCAACCCCAATCCCTTGAGCCTTCCAGTCCCCCTATTTTAAAATAATCTTGATAAAATAGGAATCTCAACAAGTTTAGCCTCCTTCATGGTGCAGCCTGACTGGAGAAGACCACGACAAAGGCTTTGCTTAAAGTTTCCACGTTTGGACCTGTAGGATCTCTCGGGTAAAACTTGCTGATTTGGTCTTCAACCAGGAACCGAGCCAAGGAACAAGTGTCACTGTAGTTCAAAGAACAGAGTTAATCTGTTTGGGTTTATTAAAGCCAGCCAACCAGGTCTGGGAGCGAAGGGACAGCTGTTCAAGCCAACAGCCAATCAGTGACCGTGTACAACAGCTGTCTAGAGCGACAGGGCCAGCTGCTACCCAATCAAGAATAGCAGTCTCTAGTTATGCCACGGAACGGCAGTGTCGCCAATGGACAGCGCCTTGGGAAGAGCTCCCCATGGCGCACTGCAGTAAACACTTGTGTGACAGGTGAGTGGTTGCTACACGTTGACCCTGTGGGATAAAATAAGACTCCCAAGACAGGCGATCTGTACCCAGGGAGGCAGACGGACGGAATTCTCCTTTGACGCTTGTCCAATACGTCCACAGCAGCAGGGCACGCAAGCACATCACGGGTTTGGAACTCAGGGAAAAAAAAAACACAAGAGCTCCAGCTGCTATGAGAAACTTCCCGTCCTTCTGCTGTGTGGAATCTGCTCTCGGCCTCCAATCTCTGTCCTTTTCTGTATTTTATCAATAGGACTTCTGTCCTGGTGCCCGGTGGGTACTCAAATCTGCTTTGAGTTACACAGATGCCTGGCTCTGCCTATAAATATTATCTGGGTGCTTATATCTCACTCAGCACCACTGCGTCTGTGCAGCTACAGCTAGCCAAGCATGCAGGACATGCGCTTGAATGATTAAACTCAAGAAACATTCACTGGCCATTGGGACTACAAAACAAGGTAAAGTACCTATCTGCCCTGCCCGTCTTCTAGGAGGTGGGCAAGATGGTTGGGCCAGATACTCAACTCAAAGAAAGGGGTAGTGGCTTAGTGTGCTGCTAAATGCCAATCTGACAGCCCCAGCAGGGACTGCCAATCTTCCTTCTCCCCTTTGATTGCCCACCTCAGATGGCTACTCTATAAACAAATACGGAAAGCTGCAATTAAAATAAATCAATCCAATGGCTGAGTGACAGCAACAGACTAGGGGATGGAAGATTCAGAAAAACAGCTCCAAGGAAGAGCCAATGGAAAGGGGATACAGGAGGGTCTGAGATTAACTGACCTGTGTAGAAAAGCCTTATAGAGCATTCAGGGCAGCCAATGGACTTGCTTAAGGAGGATATTCTTGAGCCAAAAAGGCCCTGCCCCCAGCCCAGGTACAACAGACCCTCAGACAGAGAGTAAACCCCAACTAACCACATTTAGGGGAAGCATGTTCTGTAGCCCCCTCCAATCCTTTCGGGTGAAATCCACTGAACAAACAGGGTGACCCTGAGTGACAACAGCCTTTTTGTAGGCCTGTGGATCACTAAGTCTCAAGGAGTTGGTCGGGGTTGAGGGGAGGAGGGTGGTATACAGTGTTCTCCTACCCACCCTGTGTTTACATACCCTGCACTCACTTCAGTTCTCTTGGGCAGCAGAAATGCCATTGGAAGCAAGTAGAGGGGAAAAGGCTTCTCGCTGCTCTGCACATGCCCAACGCCACTCTCTGCAACACAGCCTCATTGCAAGACACAGATGCCTTAGGGCCCCCAGGAAAAGCTGCCTTAAAGATGAAGCTGAAAATCTGCCCAAGCTCCGCTCGCAGCCACCGTCCACAGTCACTCAGCTGGCCACAAAGGCCCATTTGAACTACAGCTGTTGGTGGAACAGGAGCAGAAATGCCCATCTGCAGGCATCTCATTCACACAAGCCCTCAGGACAGAGGCAGAAGCCAACACACGCAGAGCACTGGCACTGGTTCATCAGTGGACTGTGGCCAGCTCTGCTGGGACCCACATGACAGCTCCCTTTAAGTCCTGGATTATCCAGCAGCCCTTGATGAGGGATCATACCGACAACTGCAACCTCGAAAGCCAGCACATAACATGCTTATAAACCCTCCCCGTGCCCCAGTGTGGAGGTCTATGCCGAGAAATCAGAGCCGAGAAAGATTCTCTGAGGATACCAACTAGGTACAGATGGCAGGGCTGGGGGGGCTTTCCTTTTCCCTGTCCCTTTTCCCACCTTCGCGCCCCTTTCAGCGTCCAGTCCAGTGACTCCTGTCCATCTTCCCCCCCCCCCCCCGAAACTGCTAGCCAGACGGCAGGAGTTAAAGAGAGTGTGTTAGGGACATGAATACACCCCCTAATGCAAGACACTCCTATTTGAGACAGGAGACTTGGGAGGACCATATATAAAGGGGTCAGCTTCAGCTCTTGAGTTTCTCCCACTATGCCCAACAGTGCTGCTTCTGTCTACCAGTGAAGTTCAAGGTGGCGTGGAAAATCACACTGCTGAGATAAAGGGCTGGTCTACAGTGGGGGGGAGGGGAAATCGATCCAAGATACGCAACTTCAGCTACGCGAATAGCCTGGGGTCCACACGGCGTGGGATCGACAGCTGCGGCTCCCCCGTCCACTGCGCTACCGCCGCTCGCTCTCGTGGAGTTCCGGAGTCAACGGTGAGCGCATTCGGGGATCGATATATCGCGTCATAACGAGACGCGATATATCGATCCCGGATAAATCGATTGCTTCCCGCCGATACGGCGGGTAGTGAAGACATACCCAAAAATGCTGCCCTACACCAGACTACCCATCCCCATAGTGGGGTCTATGGCAGGCAATAGAGTGGGTTGGGGAGGAGAAGAAAGAAAGGCGAGAGAAACAAACACACATTGAAACCAACAGTCTATTGGTTAGCAGGTGTGAATGGGAGAGTCCTGGAGATTTTGAGCCAGAGAAAGATGGTCGTTTTCACTGGTGAGCTTTCTGGATCAGAGACACGGCAATGTTAACCCCAAGCGTTCCAAAAATCATGGGTACTCTTTCTCTTCTGGTTTCTGAGTCCGTAAGGTCACTCTGGTCACATTTTCAAGCTTTTCTTTGCGATCACGAGGGCTGGCTTTTTTAAAGATGAAAACAGATTCTCATGTAATCACCAACTTCCAGGAACTGGAACATTAAGAAATACACCAAATATCTCAGCCTATGTGCAATGTGCCTCAGGTGGCACATGATCAGGATTCATCACTAAATTTGGTCTGCTGGTTGGACCATTAGCTTCCGCAGCCCAGGCCGGGTACTGACAAGGAGTGAGACAAGAACGCCCATGCCCACCACACCAAATACCATGAAACTCGTACTAAAATTGCACGAGCTGGCTACCCTGGAGATAGTAAACAGTCATATTTGCTGCCTAAGTTATAACTAAGTGGTCTCAGCCCAGCTCCCAAGTGCACACCTCTCAAAAACACCAGCACAACTGGCACCAACTGGTTCCCTTCACGGCAATCTCAGCAGAGCAGGCAACAAGTAAGTGGGCATGAGACTTTGATCGCTAGCGGGTGGTATCCTTACCACAACATTAAAACATTCGTGAGCAAGCTTGCCTAGGTACTGTTGTGCTGTACCTGCTTTGTGGTTAAGATGAGGTCGTTGGTCCCCAGGGCTGAGAACGGAGCATGAATATCACACACACACACAAACCCGGTGATTTTTCATTAGGGGGAAAAAAAAAGGCATATTCTGAACTCCAGTGGAAATCCTAGAGAAGACAAGGCAGGCTGTAGTCTTCTTATGAATTAGCAGGTCCAATTAAAGACTATGAGGGAGCCTAGGGTTTACCTGGACCTGCTAACTTGTGTGAAAACTCCACACTGTCTTGTCTTCCCTAGGATTTTAGCTCATGTTGGTTAACGCTAGTTAAGAGCGAATCTTTTCCCTCGCAGTGAAGACAAGA